GTTAAAGGAACAAGGCCTTGACGACAATTAGTCGTTATGTCAAACAATTTACTAAGACTTGCATAAGCTTTGCAATGTGCGTAACGGAAGGCATTACTTTCTACATCTTACGTGCTATAGCGGACATCATAATTGCTCAACAATATAATGTATATGAACTCCAATACGAGTTGCGATTATTTGTTCAATAGAAATTAAGGATTTTTATGAAATAGTAATTTGTTAGTTTTACAACAACTAATCATTAACCATAGGTTAGGCATACAACGCATATTTAAAAAACAAATTTTATTCCATTTTTTAATGTTCTTTGCGTTCATCAAGAGCGTTCAACCATATCGTATACACACATACGTATAATAATGGCTTTTGTGATTTTATCTTTTTCCCATACACGCTATGGGCAAAACAAGAGTTAAATATTTAATATAATCCGTGGCTGGCTCGAGTTATGTCCAACTCTCTGCAGATACCAGTATGTGACTAAAGACAGGTCACTCGCGGGCCTTTCTAGAGATCTAGTCTAGAAAAAACAAGAAGAGAAACCATTATTTTTTCAGTGGTGTACAATTTATATAGACAAAATGTAAGTAGGTCGAGTATAATAGACTATTGAAGTCATTGTAAACACTGATAAAGTTATGATTTTATGTTCGTGACACATGATTTGGAAATAAAATCGGCAAATGTTTTTTTTCAAGTGATATAATATGAGGAGGAAAGGACAAGAAGGATTTAGCTCCGCATTGCGACGTAATATCGGATTATAAAGGAACAATGCGCAGAAGTGAAAGTGATGAGATAATCTTTATCTGAAAGTGGTTCAGAAGAAAGTGGTTGGGACGGATAATCCTTGGCTCTGACAGATTTCGCCGAGTCTAGCAGTATATTTGTCCACGTTACGGTGTAAAAGTGGTCGTATAAAATTCTTGTTATATAGGTATACGAGTAGTTATTTTAATACATCTAAAGCTACACTGTCACATAATTTTAATATAACTGCCCCCGTGGCCGAACGTTACAATGCTGATCTGCCACGCAGAGGTATCGAGTTCGATTGTGGGGCCGGGAGAAATATTTGTATGGCGTACATTTTATTCTCTCGTGAGTTTGGGTCTAATTTTTACGTGTGTATGACACTCGTGTACGTGCTTTTTAATTGTTTATACAGGTCGTTTGGCGGATGGACCGACAAAATTTTTTGGGAGTTTGGGGAGTTTTTGCTAGCTTTTACCCACTGACCCCAAGTCGTAGGTGTCACGGTAATAGAAATGTGATTTTTTTTATTAATTACACGAAATCTCGTTTTTACATCGTAATAACTTTTTTGTTTGTAACAGCACCAAATATTTAATAGCATTATATAATTTTGTTGTATTCTATAATACCGCTATTCGAAATAAATCGTAATTTCAAACAAATATTCCCAAACAAATTACTTGTGAGCTTTTAAAGTTAAAAAAATAAAATAAAATATTACAAATGTTACAAAAAACAAAAACTAAAAATAATTTTGAAATTAGCTTTATATTAAAAACTTCTCTGCTTAGTACACGTTCGACACGAGGTCAGAATAAGAGATATTACAAAAACGGTCCATGCTAACTAAATTATGAATTACGTGATTAAAATAAGAGATAATAAAAAATATTATTTATTCTCCATTTTTTTATTGTTAACTATTACAAATTTTGCTCAAATTGTCGGTCTCTACTTTGCTTACATGTTCGACATCTTTTTCTTATTTCGATAGTCGTTGTTCCAAGTTACATTTCTTCTTACATGATATCAAAAGCGGCGCTAATTCTATTATATATTTTATCGGAAAGGAAAGGCTTAGTACAAGTGATCATGTATTTTCTATATTACACTTATTAATAGGTAATGGTTAGCAACCGCAAACCAATGGTTAGAGCGCAATAAACTACTGAGACATCGTTCTGTGGCTCAGACACTATGAAAATTATAGCTATCGTTTAACAAAAAGCAAAATTACAGCCCTTGACACTTTTTTAGTTAAACAAATTAATAGACTGGAGGAAAATTTTAAACAACACGTAGTTAAAGCAGTATGTTATATGAGATATAACGCAGCGATTCGCAATCATGGGCAGCGATTTCGGTTCGTTCGCATTAGTTACAGGTACGATCAAAGGTAAAATATGGTCACTTTCTGCCCTAATATGTAATTATTATTTTTAACAGACAGATTAGGCGTTGCTTCATTGCATCCATGTAGCTACATTGCATTGTATTCCATCAAATTGAGTTGGTTGAGAGAATTTTATCATTAGCACAGACACTAACAAAGCTAAGAAAATACTTAAATAGCAATAAATCTTAAATATTTGGGAATATTTGCAATGAGATAAACTGGCAGGGAAGGTCCATATTATTGATTAAAACTAAAACATGTGTACAAATCGCAAACAACGGCTGATTTTGAGAAGACTAATAAAGTGTTTAGTCGATAGTTAAAATTCGAAATAAGAAATCGTCAAGGTTTCACCAAAGGAAGGGTGTAATTGAAGCATAGTGAAGCATCCGAGTTTATTGAATTAATTCGAATATCAAGCAAGTGCGCATTGTTGGCACGTCACAATGCGCGGCGCGAGCACAGCGTGCGATACGCGTCACTTTCCTTCCAACAAACTCAATGAAGCGCAGAGAAAGTGCCGACCCCACGTCCGTGTATGCCGCTGTCTGTAAAATCCGCTGACTCATACATTTAATCGAATATTAACCCTACAAAAAACTAAAGGCATATGAAATCCACTCCATAGCCTTGAAATCCTCACGACAGTGCAATTTTTACCCTGGAATTCTAATTGGCAGCTGTAATTCTTTGACAAGCAGGAAATTGTTCGTGGATACGTTTGACTGTACCAATACCTTTAACTCGAAGGCAAAAAAAAAGCATTGGCTTAGTTATCGATCGTCATACTTATGTTTAACCTAAGTTTCAGTATGATCAATAATGACTAGGAACTTTAAGTACAAAACCAATTAATCTATACAGATTCTTTGATCCAATCTACTTATACCAAATATGTGCATATGAACATGAAGAGAGAGTTGATAGGTAGCGCCACGTTACATAATTAATATCCAAGCCTCTAGGATGATAATATTTTATTGCCCACAGTTTAATAACAGTATCACACACAAATTTATGTTAAGCCCCATAAAATTAAATAGGTCGTCGATCGTCAGTTAACCTACTTTCACTGTGATTTTTCTCATTACTTTTATTGCCTAGTAATTTTATAAGAATTTTGATTTGAAATTTTGTAAGAAAAATCATTTTTCTGTGGACGTTTAATACCCATGTGCGTATTGGATTAACGGTATTATGTCTTTATGAACTTACGCGTAGAAGATAATATATTACGAAAATTCATTTACGACATCTTTCTTATCCTTCCAAGCATTCTTAAGGAGAGATCATTTTACGACTTTCACGCCATACTCTAGGAAGTCCACAGTTAAGTATTGGTAATATTGTACGAGACATGCATTATATTAAATGCATTTTCTCTATACCCGTTTCACTACTTAATGAACGTATGTGCAAGTATGGTCAAAACCATCCGCTCGGACTAAATGGAGGCAATTCTTTTTAAGTTTCACAAGATCGCATTTTAAATGGAATTTGAAACCTGCCTACTGCAAACAGTTCAATGATGAAATAAATATAAATTACACGTAAAATGACAACGTACGAACATAGGTGACGACTATTAGCTATTTGTAACTGGTGAACGGATACATAGGGTATTTGTAGTTATATCGTATGATTTATATACCAAACAAAAGTCACATTTAATGTTACATTAACGGTCCTTAATATATATCACAGGGACTTTATTCAAAAGTATTTAGTCATATTCCTTATTGGCGGAGGTTGTTTCTTGTCACTGAATACCTTTTGCAATTGATAAGATATCAATTGTGTAATGGGGAAATGTATTATAGCTTTTATTATATATACGATTAGGTGTGTGTACATAAATAAAGTCTTCCAAACCAGACTTTCATTCAATATGTCTAAAATAGAGAAATGTTCAATTGTAAATATTTAATTAAGGGAAATAATAAGAAATAATAATAAAAACGGTTTGTTTGAAAAAACAAATATACGCGATTTAAATCCGGAAAAATAGTTTCATTTCCAATGAAATAATAAAAGTTTCGAAAACCAAATTAAATTGCAACGAGCTAGGGCTAATTGTAATACTAACAAAGCTGCGTTAAAATCAGTTACTGAAAAAAGGACACAGAGTATCTATACCGATAAAATTAATCATACTTAGCAAACAATCAAGAACTTGTTTAAAGCACAATTCTACGAAAAAAACTGTACTTCCGAATAATATGTATACTAAACTTCCGAAAGAAAAACTAACTTACCGATGTATATCCTATGTTTTCACTCATATAGCATTTCCGTATGATGGAATAGTTTAACAAGCACCAAAATGTATGAAACGTATAAGGTCGCTTTCTCATAATAAATAGGTGGTTTACGATAAAAATGGCTAACAATAGTTTTTAGTAAAATATAAATTAAGTTGGTAGAGTAGTAGGCATTACGTCAGCAAGATTTTTCAGAACTTTGAGTATTTCATTCAGTTGTTCCCGTACTGTTATTTGCACAAAAGTTTGCGGTAGCTCAGTAAATAACGCAGTAACATTTAAATTTAGAATAAGCTTATGTTTAATTTATTTTTCGGAGTTTTTATTACTACCCTTTAATTAATTTGTGATTTCTCATTGCATTTTATTACAAGATGTCATTGAAGCATGGTTGTTGCCGTATTTTCAAAAACATCATGCTTTGAAAACATTTCTAACAGTAGGTACGCTTTACCACTTCACGTCAAATGGTAACTTTCTGTTAGATATTATACTAGTGTATAATTTGGTCGCTGCAATAAATAGTTTCTCTCTGTTTAATCAATTGTTAAACGTATATTGAGACTATGTTTCGTTTATTTCAGGTGCTTCCACCTACTCAAGGTCTTAGTAATGATTATCAGAATACCATGGTTTCTCGAGTTACTACTCCTTATTGCTGCAGTTATCACGACGTCAGGTAAGTGGTGTACAGGGTCAAGAGCCCGTCAAGCTTGACACTTAACATTTAAATCCAACTCTATGCCGCTTACGATAAGAACGGTGCAAAGTAAAAAGTGTCATTATAATACGGCAGCGTTACCAAGTTACGGTTCAAGTAACTCTTGAAGATTGAACACCCAAGGCTTTGCCGATACCAAAACATACTGAACAACCCCTTTAACGACTTGTAGTCAACTAAACTAAGACTCTGTATACACAAGTAATCACGTTGATAAAACTATCATTGTATTTTTCTTAGTTTATTGTAAGATGAAGACTTAGTGCGAGTGTGTGTTATAATAGCACCGATTATAGTAATCCTAAGACAATTTTCATTGTTCAGAATTTATTGTTGATATTTCAGATATTTCTTTTCTTAATACGTTTCCTAATAACTTTACAGGTAGTCCATTGTTTCTCGACTCAGGAAGATCTAACACTCCAGTTATAAGATGGAATCCACCAATGGACGATTGGAATGTAACCACAGTGCCACGTAACGAGGAGCCACTCTTCCATCCCTCCAATTTCACTCATAAATTGCCCCCGTCCGCCAATGAAACAGAACTAATAGCTCACATGACCGCTTTAAAAAGAAACTACTCTCGCTTGTTATGGGACAACGACAAGAGCACCAACCTTCCTCTTATAGTGGAAAAAGCTTTGAAGTTGTTCAACTTGAAACAGGTATATTATGAAGTCGAGCACTCTGTAATGTCGAAAGTATCATGTACGGCTTGCAAGGCCGGCGCTGGACTCTTGCAGCACTATATCAAGCTGGGTAAAAGTAAAGAAGAAATTAATAAGATGATTTATCAATTTTGTGTGTCGCTCAATATACAGTCACCTCGAGTCTGCGAAGGAATTACTAAACTATTTGGCGTAAGTACATATATTCTATGTTAACCCGTAATATGCAATCATATTGAAAAGGCCTTGGATAGACTGCCTCGAATACGGGTGGATTGCATAACTAACGCATAATTTTGTTTTATAATTTTAGAGTGAAGTAGTGTATGTGTTAAAGCGAGTCACGATAGGCCCCGTCGAGATTTGCAGTTTTGTGATTGGTGACGCTTGTGGTGACGTGTACAACCCATACCACGAGTGGGAAGTGGCCTTTCCACCTGTACCCAAGCCTGCTGTGCGAACTCTAGAAACACCTCTCGAGAAAGCTCCAAGTTTCAAAGTTCTTCAGATATCTGACACTCATTTCGATCCATACTACCAGGAAGGTTCGTATTTTAAAGTCTAATAATGTAATGCTGATCATGTCCATTTTTGTGCTGTGAACGAACGCAATTATACAGAGATAGGTATTAAATAGTTACGTTGATTAGATTGTTATTAGAAAGAGAAAAAATACATTTATTTGACTACGACAAATGACACAACACAAGAAAGAAAGTAACAAAACTGGGGGAATAAGGAATAAAACGTAAACATAAAATATATAATCAAAGCATTCAAACGTAACTAAATAATTACAACACAAATTAATAATTATACAAAACATAAACACAGACACTTAGTATATAAATACTTTGTGTGGTGCCAGCTGCGGTAACAAAAGGGTCACTAACTCATTATTTGCTGGAAAACGCAATGCGTTTTCATAGCGGTCTATAGGTGCAGTTATTAGATATATAGTTCTAAAATATTTTGATTTTTGAGATTTGATTTTGTTAAATATGATGATGATGATCTATATATTGATCTTTCTATATACTCTGATGTTTTGTCTCGTGTTATAAATAGGTTACATTGCAATTTGTTTCCAAAAAAATAATATTTCAGGTGCGAACGCAGAATGCAACGAGCCCCTGTGTTGCCGAGGGTCGAGTGGCCCCGCGCTTACTCCAGGCGGCGGCGCCGGACGCTGGGGCGATTACCGCAAATGTGACACACCCAAACGTACCATCGATCACATGTTAAAACACATCGCGGACACTCACACCGTCAGTATAGCACAACTTCCACCACAATATCGAAGTCAATAACCATTAAGCATAAGCTGACAAATATTATACGTGGTTAAAAATAATACGAACTGCGCACGCGGACACGAGTATAAAATCATTATTTACGTGTAGATTGTCACTGAGTACCTTATTTAATTATACATAGGGCGCACTATAAGTTTCCGGAACTGGCGACTTAAATAAATAATATTTAAAAAGTGATTACAACATTTGAAAATGGAACTCTTTGGCTGTAGAATACAGTTTGTTTCATCTGACTGTCACTTGTTTTCATCTACATCGCCATGGATTTAACTAGTGAAAATTATCGTAGTATGATTTTGTACAACTTCAAGTGTAATTTATCAGCTCAGCGGAGCATCGCTCGGCTTCAAACTGCTTTGGCGATGAAGCACCATCCAATACGACTATTTATAGCTGGTTTGCAGAATTCAATCGCGGTCGTGTGAATCTCAGTGACGAATTTCGTGGTGGTCGCCCGTCCACTGCCGTGAACAACAAAAACATCGATGCTGTGCGCCTTGTGATCAAAACAGACAGGCATGTAACTTACCATGAAATTCGGGCATCTTTAGGCATAGGCATGAGTCAAATACAATCAATACTAAACGAACATTTGGGTGTGAAAAAGCTGTGTCCTCGGTGGATCCCACACAATTTGATTGAGGCTCAAAAAACGGATCGCGTCACTTGGTGCAATGCCATGCTTACGAGATTTCAACGAAGGGGCGTCAAATTTGGTGTAGGACATAGTAACAGGTGATGAAACATGGATTTGATGATGGAGTTACGATCCCAAAACAAAGCAGCAATCGAGCGTATGGGTCTTTCGGGATGACCCGAAACCAACCAAAGTGGCGCGCGTGCAAAGAGCCTCTAATCGGATGATTGCTTCTTTTTTTAATAAAACTAGACACGTGGCTACTGTTGCTTAGGAGAATCGTTGTACCGTGAATAGTGATTGGTACACGACCATTTGTTTGCCGGACAGACAGACAAATGAATTTTTGAAGGTGAACAGCGTTGACCTTGTGAGCCATCCCGCATACAGTCCTGACCTGGCACTTTGTGACTTTTATTTATTTCCAAAAATTAAGAATCAGTCACGCGGTCAACGATTTTCATCACCTGGAGAGGCTGTCGAAGAGTATGAAAAATATGTTTCAGAGATTGTCACGGAGGAGTGGCATAAATGTTTTCAAAATTGGTTCATTCGTAAAGTGCATTAACGCTAACGGAGAATATTTTGAGAAACAATAAATTCATTTCTGACCATTTATAGTATTTTTTTCTTATTCATTCCGGAAACTTATAGTGCGCCACACGCAGTAGCGGATGAGAACCGAGAATTAAAATTAAAATATCAAACACCTACAATAAAATGAAATAAGTTAATGCAGCAGTAGAGCTCGTTGTGAAAGAACTCGTCCAGGGCAGTACTGCCTCCTTACCTGTTTCTGCCGCCAAGCAGTAATATTAGCATTACTGCGTCCGGTTTTGAAGGGTAAGGGCGAAATGGTGACATGTGTAATTACAAATGAGACTTGTCAACTTATGTCTCAGAGTGACGGGCGCAGTGGCGGTGCCTCTCAGATCTTTGCGATTTAAAGCACTGAGTGGCAATACAACTGTTATTGACAGGCGTGTAGCTTACCATTAGGCACACGACTCGTTCGTCCCGTCACTAGATATTATAAAAAAATCTCGAACTGGTCCAAAGCTTGGAGAACTGTAGCTATTGTATAATATAATTGTAGAAATATGAAATAACAATGTCCATTTCAATTTCAGGATATAGACTATATTTTATGGACAGGAGATTTGCCACCGCACGATGTATGGAACCAGACAAAGGAAGAGAATCTGAAGGTTCTTCAAGAAACCGTTGCACAAATGTCCGATATGTTCCCCGGAGTACCCATATTCCCTGCCTTAGGAAATCACGAATCTTCTCCAGTAAACAGGTAGGCAAACCAAGACGCGCTGCTTTAATAAATGATGTTGTTACCATCAAGGACATATTAATTACTTGCAAATGCGTCGTAGTGCAATTAATTGAACTACGCATAACGCTATTCAAAACATAACTAATAGATTGCTGACTATTTACCTATATTACTCTTGCAACATAAAAACAGAAAGGGTTAAATATAATAGTAATATTTAACTCTTTCTGTTTCTATATTGAAAGAGTGTAATTTTTAAATGTTTTTTAAGTATTTTTTATTAAATACCTGGCATTACAGCTTCCCACCTCCATTCATATCGTCGCCTGAGTCGAATATTGCATGGTTGTATGATGAACTCGATGCGCAATGGCGGCGTTGGTTGCCAGCCGGCGTCTCACACACGGTGCGGCGGGGGGCCTTCTACTCCGTGCTAGTTCGGCCTGGCTTTCGCATCATATCTCTTAATATGAATTACTGTAATAACAAAAACTGGTAAATGTGCAATACGTTTTATATTTTAGTCACATATTGTACGTAATCTGTACAATTGTGGGTCAGGAGAAGTCGTCTTGTTATTATGTCGCTCACCCAATCAACGTGACCCAACTTTTTTCAAGTCTGCGACCTAATTTGGAACCTTTTTTAGTCATTGGTCCGTACGTGACTGGTAGCCACTCTGAACCTGGTATCGTACAGCTGTCCCATAAGATGCGGATGTGGTTTGCCTCGTCTATATTTGCATTGCATTTGTGGCGGTTGTGCCATGGGTTTCGCCTTAAGCGTTGAAAACCGAGTCTTTGCACATGTGTTTTGCGTCCTTCAGCTTGATTTTGATTGCCTGTCCTTATCGGAAATTGCGTCTTTTTCGGATCGAGGCGCATAATTGCGATTCACAACTCACCGATCGGAAAATTTTGACATTCCTAATCGGAACAATAGTTGATTTAACTCACAAATTAAAAAGATGTACCTAGTAGGAATCAGGTTCGTCTTCTCGCTCGGAAACCTATCCTCGGAAACTTATGATTTCGAGACTCGCATGGGCTAGCCGATCGGATCGATTTCGATTTGAATTAAAATCAGCCTGCCGGTCTACTCTGGTTCTTATGCGGACATCCGTCCGAAACAATTACTGTCCAATAAGTAATACTCGATCAAAGTTTAAGACGCATTGTGCGAATGAAACTTCATAATTGATATTGTGTTCTGATTTGGTCGAGTATTACTTATTTGGCAGTAATTGTTTCGGATCCTCAGTTCGCGTCAATCTGTTCGATTCTTCTCCGAGGTCTTACAGTTCAAGCCGTCTACGTTGACTTACTGAGTAAGCTAGTCACAAGACGACTCTACCTGACCTACATCTATACAAAGACAGTACACATTTTTATAACTTCGCGTTACTAACCCGTTAATTAATGTTTCCAGGTGGTTGTTATTAAATAGCACAGACCCAGCAACTGAACTTCAATGGCTCATCTATGAACTCCAGTCTGCCGAGTTTAGTGGTGAGAAGGTGCACATCATCGGGCATATACCACCCGGTCATTCAGACTGCCTCAAGGTGTGGAGTCGCAACTATTACGCCATCATCAACCGATATGAGGCCACTATCACAGCCCAATTTTTTGGGCACACGCATTTTGATGAATTTGAAATATTTTATGATCCTAACGATCTTGGTAAGAAAACACCGTAGATATTCTAATGTTATAAACTCTTTTCAGCTAACCATTTCGATATTATACTTTCATTATGTTTACAGGAAGAGCAACGAGTATAGCGTACGTGGGACCTTCAGTTTCACCTTACTACGATTTAAATTTAGGGTATCGAATATATTATGTAGATGGTGATCACGAAGCGACCACTCGGGTAAGTTACCTACACGTGTTTATTGGAGTTCAGCTTTGATCGCATATAATTTGCATAAGTACCTTATTACGTCTTTTTCCAGTTAGTGGTGGACCACGAGACGTGGATTATGAATTTGAAGGAGGCCAATCTATTTGGGTATCCAATTTGGTACAAGCTGTACTCGGCACGTTCCGCATACCTGATGACCGCGCTGCGGCCGCAGGATTGGGACAAATTTGTCGATGACATGACTAACAAGGAGGACGTATTTAATTTATACTACAAGTATGCTTTATTCACTTCTGTTTCTAATAATATAATTTTATGTAACCTTCCTTGTAGTTACTCATGTGTATGTTTTAGACACTATTGGAAAAATAGTCCTCGACGTGGTACGTGTGATGGCGAGTGTCGTAAACGATTGGTGTGTGATGCGAAATCTGGTCGGTCGCACGACAGACGCGCTCTGTGCAGTCAAATAGAGGCGCGCATCGACGGCTCTACGCCCGCGCCACAGACCTGGCGCGCCTGGTTCTACAATGGCCTGTCTGTCTCGTGAGTTGGCTTAACACATCCACCGCCCCATTGGCCTCTATTCCATGTGAAACGTGGAGAACGGACACAGCTTCCTCATTATGCTTCCTCAGTGGTGTTGGCGCGCTTTCCACTCCATGTTAATATAAAGGACTTCACGAATTAAGTTTGGGTCCAAACAAGGTACTTCGATCATTCCGATGGATTAAGCGGGCATTTTCTTTCTTATATTCCAAGTCTCTTCTAAAGATATATAATAAATTGTTGATAAGATCATACAGAAAACAAAAGACATAAATTTATATTTTAAATTAAATACTACAAAACTTAGATAGATTCATGATCGCGATGAATGTATTACTAATTCTGCCTTTCGTAATGCATTTTTATTATTTCCATTGCTTAATGGTTATATAAATTTTATGATCAAAGTCGAACACGTGCATTATGTTATATAAAAGACAATGTAATATACAATAAGTATTTTAATATTACATTTTGTGGCGTAATGTACAAATACATAGATTAAAGATGTTATCTATGGGTTCTCCGGTAAAAATGGGTGTTCCGCAGGGCACAATATTTGGGCCTTTCTTATTTCTCATTTATATTAATGATCTGCCATTATTTGTTAAGGACCTTTGTGAAATAGTATTGTTTGCTGACGACACTTCCTTGATTATTAAAACAGACAGATGACGTTTACTATGACAATATTAACGACACCCTTTCAAAGGTACTTTATTGGTTTAATGTTAACAATTTATTGCTCAATGCCAAGAAGACAAAGTGTGTTAAATTTGAATTACCTAATGCAAAATCGACTAGCCAAATCATAGATATAAATGGAGAAAAGTTAGACCTTGTTAATAAAGCCGTCTTTTTGGGACTGACCTTAGATAGTAAACTTCAAAGGTTTCCACATATATACCTTCCTTGGCCAGCAGATTAAGCTCCGTTGCATACGTGATTCGTAGAATACGTGAGCTTACCGATGTTGCTCTTTTTTTACTTTTACCCATAAGGTATCTGAGACATATAGCTAGTTTGCTATCTTTTAATATTAAGGACGCTGTTATAGAAAATATAACACAGTCCCACGGCAATGGTCCTACTTTAAGTAGCAACAGTATACTTTTTACTAACCATAATTTAAACTAAAAAACACGGCAACAGAAAAGTCTAATCGTTCCATGTAGTACATCAAAATATTCAAGGCTTTTCTGGCAAAACATTAGAAATAAGTCTTTTTGCACGATATTTCAGTTGACGTGTTTTGTGTTACAGAACACTGGCTGAAAGACTACGAAGCAATTAACAACATAGAAAATTATGTAATAGTCAGTTCCTTCATAAGAAAGAGCTTAAGTAGAGGCGGATCCATGATTATTATTAAACGTAACTTAAAATTTAAAGAGCGTAAGGATATCACAGATCTTTCTACTGAACGAACTATTGAAGTATCATGTGTGGAATTGGATCAGTTTGTCGTCTTATGTATATACAGGCCCCCCTCTGCTAATTTTAACGACTTTGAATTAATTATGGAAGACAGTTTAAAGCGAATTGTTCCAACCAAAAAAAACGTAGTAATATGTGGAGATTTCAATGTAAACCTGTTGTGTTCTACTTCTGTAAGACTCATTAATTTATTTAAAAGTTTTAACTTGATTAATCTTTTCTTAGAACCAACTCGCATTACTGCCTCCTCTTCTACTTGTATTGATAACATCTTTTGTAACACAGACGCAGTGTCTAAATCAATAATAAATTGCTTAAGATCAGACCATAGTGGCCAATTGGCTTCTTTTAATTGTAAAATGAGCAAGAAGGTAGACCAATTACTTTGCAGACCGATTACCACAGAACGAATCATTAGATTTCAAAATAATATCGGCAATAGTTTAAATTCCCTACCGCATATACCGGAGGTTCCAAATACTTTATATAGCACGATATTTGGTTTAATTAAAAATAAATTCTATTATATATTTAAATCGAAATCATTAACTTTCCATAGAGAGACTAAAGTCAACGACTGGGCAACAGTAGGTATTCATAAGAGTAGGTCTCGTTTGTATGAGCCATGAAAACTTATAATAATAATTCCAATTTCATAGAATATGTTGGAATTTATTCAAAAATATTTAAAAAAGTATGTGTAGTCTAATTTTGTCGCTGTGAAACCTAACCTTAGCAAGGTTAGGTTTCACAGCGACAAAATTAGACAATCGATAAATAAATCTAAAACTACTTGGAGCATAATAAATAAAGAGTCAGGCAAGGTTAAACAACACGATAGAGATATAGTTTTAGAATTAGACAGAAAACTTATAAAATCTAAAGATAAAGTAGCCCAAGCTTTTGAATCTTTTTGGAAATTGCTGTGAACACTACAGAATCATTAAATTCCTCTCCTTCACTTGCTATTGATCTCCTAGAGGAAAATGTTAACGTTTGTGGCAGTTTATTTAATTTCCATCATGTTAATCCACAAGACATCATAAAAGCTTTTAAATCAATACATGTTACAAAAACTGAAGATCTCTGGGGCATATCAACTAAAGTTATAGACTCAGTTATTGATCTAATTTCCCGACATTTAGCTGTAGCTAGGTGTTTTTCCCGATTTAATATAATACAGCAAGGTTATTCCCTTATTCAAAAGCGGCAGGAAAGTTGATCCTAGCAACTATAAGCCCATTTCGATTTTACCAGCTTTAAGTAAAATATTCGAAAAGGTTATGCTGACTCAATTACTGTCCTATTTCGGTAGGAATCATATTTTTCATAGTGAACAATACGGGTTTACTAGTGGTAGATCGACTAGCGATGCGGGGGTAGCGTTACTAAAACACATCTTTGATGCTTGGGAAAGGTCCCAGAACGCTATTGGTGTTTTCTGTGACCTCTCAAAGGCATTTGATTGCGTTGATCATATTACTCTTATTAGGAAGCTGGAACATTACGGTGTAAATGGCAAGGCGTCCAAACTTGTCTCGTCATATCTCAACGGTAGAATTCAGACTTCTTTGGGTTCTCCGGTAAAAATTGGTGTTCCGCAGGTCTCAATATTTGGGCCTTTCTTATTTCTGATTCACATTAATGATCTCCCATTCTTTGTTAAGGACCACTGCGAAATAGTGTTGTTTGCTGATGACACATCCTTGATTTTTAAAACAGACAGACATGACATTAACTATGACCACCTTAATGATACCCTCTCTAAGGTAGTTTATTGGTTTAATGCTAACAATATATTCCTTAATGCCAAGAAGACAAAATGTGTTAAATTTGAATTACCTAACGTAAAATCGACTAGTCCAAGCATAGAAATAAACGGAGAAAAGTTAGACTTTGTTAATAAAGCAGTCTTCTTGGGAGTGACCTTAGATAGTAAACTTCAATGGTTTCCACATATATCTTCCCTGGCCAGCAGATTAAGCTCCGCTGCATACGCAGTCCGCAGAATACGTAAGCTTACCAATAGTACTGCTAGTTTACTTTAGTTACTTCCATAGTATAATGTCCTACGGGATTCTCATGTGGGGTAAAGCGGCAGATATTCAAACCATATTTGTATTGCAAAAACGAGCGATTCGTTCTGTGTACCGTCTAGGCTCTCGGGTTTCTCTCAGAGAAAAGTTTAAGGAGACTGGTATCATGACTGTGGCATCACAGTACATTTACTCAAATATTTTATATGCCCGTAAAATTATACATGATTGCAATAAGAAAGAAGATATCCATAATATTAACCTTAGAGCTAAATCCAAACTCATGGTACCACGATTTCGTTTAACCAAGGTAAACAACTCTTTTATGGGGAACTGTATACGTTTTTACAACAAGATTCCGGAGCATATATTAAGTTTATCATTTCCTAAGTTTAAAAACTACATTAAAAATATTTTGATCGAAAAATCATATTACAAAATTGAAGACTACGTGTTAGATAAAGATGTATGGAAAGACGACATGGCTCCAGAATCCACACAAATTTGATTCAAAGTGTATTCCATAGCATTTAAGTTTATTTGAAAAGAGCAATCCCTAGAATTTCTTGCTCGTTCTTTTCAGGGAGGTCAGCGTAGTGAACGAGCTTAAATGTGACGGTCTCAAATGTAAATTTATTTTGCCTATGGAATAAATAATCTTTGACTTTGCTACTGTAAGACTGTACTTTAGTTACTTCCAAGTATAATGTCTTACGGGATTTTCGAGTGAGGTAGAGCGGCAGATATACAAACCAAATTTATGTTGCAAAAACGAGCGATTCTTTCTGTGTACCACTTAGGTTTTCGCGTTTCTCTCAAAGAAAAGTTTAAGGAGACTAGAATCATGACTGTGGCATCACAGTACATTTACTCAAATATTTTTATAAGCCCGTAAAAATATACATAATTTCGTTAAGAAAGAAGATACCCTTGGTATTAACTTTAGAACTAAGTCCAAACTCATGGTGCTACGATTTCGTTGAACTAAGGTAAACGATTCTTTTGTGGGGAACTGTATACGTTTTTATAATATTATATTATCATTTTACCTATGGAGTAAATGATTATTTGACTTTGACTTTTGATTTGACTTTGACTATCAAAATAATGTTAATCTCTTGCTTTTGTTTACACAGAGAGCCTCCTACTGTAAAGCAAGTATAAAGGTGGTGGATTTAACTATTAACTTATTTTCTGCACGTAACTTCAGGTTGGTATTAGTCTTAAGTTTTGTAAATATGTTTAGAACGAATTAGAAAAATTGACTTCTAAAGAATTGACACCCACAAATCGACGTATTTGTCAATGATTCTCTATTCGTTCCTTAATCTAAATTGAAACATTTTATTAATTGATTAATGCTTGAGTCCAGTACTTGAATAATACAATATAAACTAGTATGGTGGTGGTGACATACAGTCAAATAAACAAGTAGCTGATCATCTAGAAAATTTAATAACGTTACATCAATGGGTCCTAATAAATCCTATTTTTGGAATTACGTAGGGACTCCAGTAACCACAAACCAACTAATCATAGGGACTATGATCCGCAGGGCTGAGGGTCAGAAGTCTCTACGATCCGTTGGTTTGTGGTCGCGGATTGATGGGTCGATAAGTAATGCCATGGAATTAATAACACTCAACATATAAAACCCGGTATTTCTAGTTTTTTTATTATTTTATTCATGGGTAAGTAAAATAATAGGTAATCAGCGACTTTTTAAGTGGATAATTAAACATTGTAAAAAGTTAAACCCTTGTAACAAATGTCTGAATAAATCTCCACTAGGCCTTTGAAATGTAATTCACCAAGTAGAATGTTCGTTTACTTATAGTGCCAAACCTTTTCAGGATGTCAATGATAATGCAAATCCCACAAGTGGCTTACCAAATACCAAAGTTCGTGATGGGTTTAGGCTGAGACGGGACAGATCGCAATCAGCGGAACAAATGCAACGTCTGGATTTGTCATGACAACTCCCCAGACTGTTCTTCAATGATCTTCATAATAATTATTTATTACCTTATGAGCAAATCGTACTTTAGTGCCTTATTGTTATTCAACAGCAATACAAATAATTAGTTTTAAGAATATCGTAACTTTTAAATATTATCCATAAGGTTGCAAGGTTTTTAATAGAAAATTAAATACCAACTCAAGTCGACGACTGTGGTAAATGAGCAATATTTGACTTTTTCTAAATGATAAATGATGTCCTTTATAATTTTGTACATATAAATAATGAAATTGTAAATTTATAATAAATTTTTGGCAAAATTGAAAGTAAGTTGTTTTTTTAATAAATGCAAACTCATTTTATCCACAAAATGTTTATTTGTATCATTAATATTAAACAATGTAAATTCATCTTCACTCCATACAACAAAATATACTGACAATTATGAATTAAAATACTTGTAAGACATCTACAATACTTATTCATCAGTAGTCTACAAGTCAGTATTATTGCTTTATGGAATAAAAGTTCAGATGAGATTAGACAACTCAAGAATTAAAACTAGAATAAAGCAAAAGGCTTTAATTAGCCTAAAAATATAACTAAAAGGTCAACACAACTTGGTCCCGCCGTTTGAGACAATAATATTCACAAATAAATTAGGAGGCAAAAACGCGTACGTATCATGTGGCTAGCTAAAATTAAAATCATATGAACGAATAAGAAATAGGAATTCAACAGTTTACTATATTGTTGATTATGGTTTTAAATACGATTTAGATTGCAAATCAAATTCCAATCTGTTGTTTATGAAAAACAAAGTGTTATTTATTTGTACAGGATAACGAGTAGCTATTTTGGACTCAATTGTGAGTATGAGATTTTTTTATACAGGGCGTCTTACGGCTATAGGACACGAAGGAAAAGTATTTTAAATACTGTGATATGATATTGTGATTCCAGGACATTTTATTTTTAAAAGTAAATAAAATAAAGCACTCAAGGACTTTTAAAAAGTTGCTTGCCTTATGTGAACGTGAAAAGTCTGCATTTTATGATGCTAATCAAAAGGATCGATTACTAGGATTAATTCCTTATAAGTAACACAGTATCTTAATTTAAAATAATGCCATTCAATTATAAAATTTATTCAAAAAAGAAACTTCCAATTTATCTAATATTTCAAATTCCGCCTCCTATCTAGCTCACAGGGTATATGCATGCAAATATAAGATTATTAACATTTTTATCTAGCACTCAATAAACAATGCAAGAAAGTAGTTTCATCAATGAGTACTTAATAGCAAATAATTAAAGCTATCTGTGATATAATGGCGATATTTTTAGAGGTATGTATATCGACAGTAAAACATAATAGTTTATTTTCCTAAACTTAAATGTAAAATTTCATGGTGTTCTAAAGGAACACCATGAAATATAGTCCAGTGTTGCATATGTTAAAAATAAAATAATGTATCCATGAAGCATGCTATCCTATCTTCAATATGTAAAGTTTCCCTCCGTGTCGCATAGCCGTGACACGCACTGCATACCCATCACTAAAAAAATCTGCTTTTCTGCATAATAAAAGCAATAAACAGTTTGAGATGACAAAGTAATAACAATCACAAATTAAGGGTTACTTATAGTAGGTAATAGGAGCACCTATTACACATTCTCAAGTACTTATATTGATAATACCAATCTTAAAACAAAGTGATGTTTGCGAAAACAGTCTAATGAGTTGATGATATGGACTTCTGTGTACCAATATTTGTGGCCTTAGGTTAAAAGTCTTTTTAAAATAAATTATTGGTCCAGACAAACTATGTTATTGTAGTCAAAACCTATAATATGTAATATCACAGTAATCTGTTAAAACTGTTTTGTACTTCAAAGTGTGGACTGAAGCTTACAGTATACTTAACTAAAAATGCACACTTGTGAAATTTAAAAAATAAATAATAAAATTAATTGAAATTGAAGCCTTTTTTTGGGATCTAATCGGAAGTAGGTATTTGTTTTTTTTTTTCGCTGTGACTATGAAACCCGTAAAGAGCCCGAAACATGGTATGTGTCAAAACACAAAAACATGCAATTTAGATGCCAAAAAAATGGCTTCCTTTCAAATGTTTAGCAATTGAGAAAAGCCTAAAAACTCGATAATACAATTAATGTCAAATTTTAAAATTCGAAAGTGGATAATCTGGAATGAAATATTTTAAAACATGTCTTTTATTGTTCAGATGGTAATTATTTAAAAAAATATACAAATAAAATTTCAAATATGGATTCTCGGCATTTCAATAACACTGTTTACAGGTATCTCAATATTAAATAGAATAAAATAATCAAGAACTTACAACTAATTACTATTTATAAGTTTTTGCAACTTGTCAGTGAAACTATAATAATGGCAAATATCAGTCTAAAATTTCACATTCCTAAAATATTATTCTAGCACTAATTAAATCTAAGTTTCGATGGGATTGTACCCCATACAAGAGAATAAAAAATATGAGTATATAAATCGTACCCACATAACTCTTTGAGTTTTGAAAGTTACAGGTGAGTTTGAGATGACATTATTATGACTGCCATAACAAATAAAAATAGTAAAAATAAAACATGGCACTGTATCAGACACTGAATTTTGCTTTAGCTTTACAGCTAAGATTATTCTTAAAATCATGACTGACTTGACTATCCCTATTTTCAACATCCAAAGTGATATAAACAAATTAATTTTACATATTGTTCTTTTATTTGTATTGCTCTTAAGGTACCAGATATCAGACTCACAAATCCAGAAAAAGTACTAAGAATATTTAGCTTTTCAACATTGGATTTTAAGCATTAGTTTGATCTTATGATTTTTTATTTAAGTGCCATTAGTAATTTCTCTTCAAATGTTCTGTCTGAATTTAATGTAAGAGTATTTTGCGTATGTGGCCTTGAAAAAGATATGGCAAACAGCTTTAATTTTACAAAACAAGTAAGTATCTTTGGAACATGAAACAATTATATGTAATTTAATTACGGATAATGGTATCAGATTTTTCGTGCACTGGGTATTATTTAGTACATAAGTCTGTGCAGGTTTTTTCTGCTCTTTTTTGTACAGACACCACCTGTGTTTTTCTTTCTTTTAGAAGGACTGGGGCCTTCTAGATCATATATGATACAAGTCTTACCTGGATGTCGGTTACACTTACAAAATCTACAGTATCTATAGGCACATGTAATATTGGTACATTCTGCCCACTCTTCTCCTGTAGGTTCTTTTGTTACCTTTGATGGCTGTCGGCACCTTACACACGATAGCTGAACTCGAGAGTCCTTGGAAGCAGCCTAAAAAACACAGAAAATTAGGATTATTCAACTCTCAGTAAAATAATATAATGATTTCTTTAATGCACATTGAAATATTTCGTTACCTTGGTAAACTTTTTGAACTTATTAGTTCTTGGTGTTCCTGGTGGGCTTCTTGAAGAACTGGCCACTTTATGAGCATTCAATACATTGTGCACTTCTGCAACAGACCTAATTTGACATCCATCACTGTCTCTCTTTGCTTGTACTGTACAGTTTTCCTGATTGTCCTTCTTTTCTTTCAAGTAATTTTTATATCGTTTCTTTTTTGAAGTACCCAAATCATTCCAAATGTTCCTCCATAGAGGGCTTACAAGACAAAATGTTTGAATGTCTTCATTTGACAAGTAACTCAGGATTTTTGTAATTGGTGGTATAGCACCTTCACGCGCATACAACATCTGTACAATGTCAATTTTTTGATCAGGCATAAACTGAATTGTCCTGACTACTTTTGGGTGGGACCTTTGCTTTATGACACCTCGGGTTTCACATGACAAGGAGTGAATAGTGAAACTGCTTTTCTTGGTAGATCTTTTTGATGGACTCAGCTTGCAACTAGTATGGCAAATCTTTTTGATAGGGGTTGTGGGATATGATAAATTGGGTACATACTCTTTTGGGTGGAAAATGTCACTAGCAGTTGAATAGTCAGAATGTACTGATGACACTATTATACTTCTTTGACTAGGGGTATCACCAGTCATCTTTAGTTTTTGAAGGCCACCTGCAATCTTAGTTGTTGGAGTAGATGTAGAGCTGTAATTGTTATCATCATCATATTGGTAAGGACGTTTCACGCCACGTGGATTAACGGGCGATTCCGGGATATTTTCAATTCTCGATCTAATGCTTATAGGCGTGCGACGATACTTGCGCGTCACATGAAAATTTGGTGCAGGAGTCGAGCCGTAAACTGCAGGAGTTGAGCCGTAAACTGCAGGAATTTCCGCAATTCTTATTTGACCTTGAATAATTGCACTATCAATGTTCTCGTTTAGTAAATGCGAGCTTTCTATGGAACCTGGAGTATAAGACGTGTGGTAACCGCTGTCTTCGTTCTTCCAATAGCTGGCATTGATGTATGATAGGCCCGGCGTAACAGGCTCGAAAACAGACTGAATTTCCATTATAGCCGTGGTGTAAGAAAATAAAAGATCTACACCTATGGTAGCTGGTGAATATTTACATATACTACAAGGCTATCATTTCATCAGGTCCATGGACATGATGCCTGTTGGACGAACTGTCCAGTGTCCACACAAAATCATCACCGCTAGTACTGAACCAAGTTTAACTATAATGTACGTTGGTAAATATTTTTATTCTAACATGAAGTACACTTTACAATCACCATTTTTTTCAATTTTATCACCTCAATTCAATAGGTATACATTTAATCACAAAACATGACAAACAAACCCAAAATTATTTTTGCCTAAAAAATGAGAGTGTTCGCATATGTATTTATGGTACACTAATTATCTTTCTTTGTGGTACACTCAAGAGCCGATTTAAAAAATAGTAACTTTATGGTTTATTTTATTTATGTATGTACACATACATTTGCTTTATTAGTTCAACAAAGAAATATTATTGAATCCTAGTGTATTTCTCTTTTCCAATTGAAATTTTCACTAAAAAAGTGGTCAAAATAAGCACGTCTGCAAGCCAGAGACAAGCAAGTACCATTAACTACAGATTAAATAGGAAACAGCGAATATTTCTGTCACACTTATTTTTTTGAAGATGTTTTATGAGTGACAGAGAAGAAGTTATCGAATTTACGGATAATTGGAGTGTCAAATGTAATGTCAATCTATCTGTCATTTTGTTCTGTGAGACGCTCGCTGATGTTTCTAGTTTCGTGTGTCTACATATTATCGATAATATGGGAATAATACGGGAATTCTGAAAGATAACTAATATTTAAATAACTGTTTAGTAGAACTTTCCATAAATGTTTGAGTGACTTGCTTATGAAGACAAATCTAAACCCGAAACATATCTTACAACAGAAAATGGCTTCGACTGCAAATGATCTTTGCAGGCTTTGTGCGAAGAAACATGACTTTTTAAAGGATTTGTTGGATGAAAATAATAAAAGTATTTTGGACTTAATTAAAAACTTTACGCAAATTAATGTGAGTATCTATTACGAAGACTTAAAATTTAACCTACTACTGAAAGGGTGTCCCTAAATGCTTGTGTTGGGGTAGATAAAGTTCCATTTTGTGTACAACAGGGTTGGTTTCAGAGTAACCAGGATTATGAATGAAGCTATTTCCTTATTTATTCCAGGTGGTGGAATGTGACAATATGCCAACCAAGGTTTGTATTGACTGTGAAGAGAGAATCGTCTCATTCCAATTGTACATCTTGGAGTGCTACAAGGTCCAGGATGCTCTAAGAAAAATGTGCATCGACACCTGCGACAATTTTATTAAAACAGAGACTGAAATACAATTCAACCTACCCTGCATTAAGGCTGAAGAGCCTCAGGTACCTTAACTATTATGTCTGTTGTTAATTTGTGATGCTGTTGTTTGACAATTTGTTGACACTATTAATATTTTCCTCATTTAGGTCAAAGATGAATTAACTGCTGAGGATATAGTCAGTAAGTAGCAGATATCATTTTTTTCAATCAAATTCCCTAAAATTATTTCTAAACTTTGTATCTGTAGGGCTAGCACATAGGGGCGCGACTTGTGCTGCAGGTGCATAAAGCGCGACACACTGTTTTTCTCGCATGTAGATCTCGCGCAAGTCACGCATTGTCGTGCTAGCCCTACAAGTGTCTCAAACTGCCCGCCTTGTCATGAACAACCCTTTTGCATTTTTGTAACTTTCGAGAATTTTTTTCTTAAGAAAATGTCATTTATGCTGATTTTACTTAAGAAAAAAACTGAAACTTTATAACATAAAAAAAAACTTTTAGGTAGGGTTGTAGATCTCGTTTTGCTGATTCCAGATATTTTAATAACTCTATTTGGCTGAAAATGTAAAATAACACCTAACTATGTACAGTCAAGAGCACATCAAGCTTGACACTTTGGACCAATCTTATCGTAGGCGGCATAGAGTTGGATTTAAATCTTAAGTGTCAAGCTTGACGTGCTCTTGACCCTGTACATATGACAATAAATTTAAATACAAATGTTGATTAGGTTGTTTATAATAAGGACAGTTGTATATGAATACAAATGTCTACTTTGTCTTTTTTCGGTTGCCCTCCATTGAACATGTGCATCTCCAATTTTGTTCCACTCCAGTATTGCCAGTTATTCTAAACTATCCTATTCACTGTCATTGCCCTGTGGTTTTGTCGCACTTTATTTTCCCTGAGGGGGTTTACAAGGAAGACATTTACTTTGTCAACATAATGGATTAATATGGACTTAAGTCCATTAAGCTTTGAGACATGATAACCAATGGCAATATCAACATGGATTTGTTGTCTTGTGAGTGCCCTGTTCAGGACTAAGGGATTCATATGAAAGTCAAAATCCAGTTGTTTTGTTTTGAAATTTACTATTATTATTATAATTACCAAATTAATTTGTATGTTACATGTACAGGTGCAATAACCAATCAGACTGAAATATCAGATTATGAAGAAGATGAATTCCAAAACGAAGACATTAATCAAGACCTTGAAGATGATCAAGTTGCTTCCCAAGAAGACAGTGATGTAGATGATATAACAATAGCTTCTCTCATAGAGCAAGGGAAACTAAAATCCAAAAATATAGAACTACCTGAAAATAAGGCTGCTGAATTAAAAGATGTATTAAACAAACCAATTATTAAAGTTAAAGATTTAGTTAAGTGAGTATACATACGTAAACATAGTATTCATGATAATATAGTTTATTGCATGACAATTAAAACTTTATTTGGATATTTGTATAATTTATTTATTTTCCCTGTGAATTACATTCTAACTTTGTTCTGGGGTTAATAATAATAAAATTTGCTTAAATACAATTTTTGCTTCTAAATAAATCAATTTATGCACTAATTAAATTTTCTGTTTTCAGATTAAAATGCCTCATATGTGAACAGTTATTTAAAACTTGGTCTTCCCTTAGTGGCCATTATTACAAATCACACAAAAGTAAAGTAGTAGTCTACTGCTTATGTGGCTATGCTATCCATTCCAAGACTGTCCTCTACAAGCATGTCTCTGATCATAAACGCCAAACAAAGAAGAGAATGAACAGCGAGCAATCTGATCAAGATAGTTCTTCATATATGTCTCTTAAAATTAAAGACTTTATTAAGTATGTATTAAGTTATTACTATATAAATTTGCACTACACCTGATTCTACGTTATTGGGATGAAGTCCATAATGTTATTGTTTTCATTCTAATTAGTAATCAGCATCAGAATGTGCAGAGCAATCTATACTGTAGTCTATTTGTCGTGAAATTGTAGGTATGTACATTTTCTGACTGAAAAACTATGTAACTGGATGGAACTTTTGCCAATAGCAATTATATACTAAGACATGATTGGGGCATAACTTACTATGGCGCTTCTCCGTCTTACTAGTATGGCCCTAGAATCTTAACATTTGTAATCAATTGGGATACAAATTTTAAGATTCTAATTAATGAATTATCTAACAAAATTTAAATTATGGTCAGTTTCAATTGCCCGGAATGCCGCAAACCATGTACGAGTTGGTATAACCTGAAGGCTCACTGCGAGCGCCGTCATACAATTGCGCCAGTGGTACAGTGCAGCTGTGGGATCACACTCAAGTCCAAGTCTGTTATGTATAAACATGTTCAAGATCATCGAAACCCTAACAATGATTTGTCGTAAGTATTTTTGACAAAAGTTAGCATCACAAAGAGCACATCGAAGTACTCTTAATATTTAAAAGCATGTGTATGGAACTTATAAGGCGAGTATCACACTGCACCGCGCCCGCAAAGGAGCGTGAAGCTGCGTTTTTTAACGTTGTACTGAAGTACTTCAGTTTGTATGGAAAACACGAGCCGTCGAACACACAGATAACGGTTCTCCGCGCGGGAGCGCAGCGCTCGCGGTGTTACCGCGCCCCCGCGTGGAGGGGCGGTCGCGGGGAACCGCAGGGTATGGCACACTGCGCTCCGCACTACCGCGCAGATTTTTAAGCTTAAGGACATGTTCAGTTTTCTACAATAGATTTCGCCGTCGATAAATTTATATTTGCTATTGAAAATCGACCAAATTTATCTTCATGTTTTCCTAAATCTTTGTAATGAAGTTGCAATTATTCATTTATTGATCTGGTTCGTAAAAAGGGATGTATCCAATATCTTCGGTGTCTTTTTATTTGAGCAAACAAAAACCAAATAGACAGTATAACTGCAGCGTCCTAAATGAGTTCTGTATTATTACCCATTCTTGTCAAAGAAGGATCTCGGCTACATATGCAATCACTACGTCGCGCGTCGATCAACTGCGAAGAGAATACTTAGTGGTAAGATTAATCCGCGCGTTGACGCAGATCTGCATCAACTGACACTGAAACAGCAGTATTACAAATAAACGATTATTTAATTAAAATTGAATGTAAAATTACAACAATTAGACATATTTAATGTGATGGTTTTTCTTGGCATATTACTTTGTATTTTATTATGAACTTGAGATGCCTCCAAAGTTACGGGATTTTCTTGTACTTTATTTTATAAAGTTCTAGTGTGCGTGGCTGTAGGCGCAGGCGTCTTTGCCTCGGTCTTAAACGACGATATTATTTTATGCTCTAGAGCATAAAATCCAATTTTATGCCGCCTACACACAGCATAAAATCCAATTTTATGCCGCCTACACACAGCATAAATACGAACTTTAAGAGCATGAGAAGTGAGAAGTAAATTATTTGTATTTATTTTTAGATGTGACCAATGCGCGAAAATAATGAAATCTGAAGCAGCTCTGGAGAAACACAAAATGAAACATATACCAAAAACAGACAGAAAATTCCGCTGCTCTTCGTGCGACAAGGTCTTCCTTTGTAAGGAGGGTTTAAAGTCTCACGAGAAATCCCACATACCCATTGAAGACAGAAAAGTATATCGATGTGATATTTGCGATTTGAGGTACATTTTATATCCTTTTGACTTAAAACTTACAAAAAAGTAGATTTCAGACTTCTTCAGTTCAATAAAAATTTCCACAGCACTTTACATCCAAATTTGTTTAGGGAGTAACTTTTCTACACCAGTCTAATCCAAGTGTTAATTCGGTAATTATTTTTTTTTGCTTACTCTAGTGTCCATACTACAAGTGATTGCATAATTTGGAGTAAAGATCTCATTAGCAGTCAGCTGTGTTGGCGCTAGATAAGCTGGTCCGAGTCTAGTAGGACTAACTTGGATATATATGCCAATTTTTCTAAATTTGTTCTATTTGTGTAGTATGGTAGTGCCTCAAAGTTAATTTCTCTGGTACTCGTAGTACAGGTAATCCTCTAGTTGACTAGGTACTTATTAAAAAAAAAGATAATTCTAGAAGTAAGTTTACCTATTATTCCCGCTTAGGTTTACAACGAAATCGTCAGCAGCATCTCACAAGCGTGTGGTACACGACAAAATTAAGAGCTACGTATGCGATCTGTGCGGATACGCTTGCGGCACCAACGGCGAATTGCGTCAACACCGCGCTATACATAGCAACGAGAAGCCTTTCGTTTGCAAAAAGTGTTCTAAACCGTGAGTATTGTACTTTAAATCCTAATTTAAAATCGAATTAAAATAATCTTTATTTCATAAGTTATCTAATTACACTTCAAATCGTCATATTGATTAAATTCTACTATTCATTCCTAAGGCAGATTCCCCCGAGACGAAGAACAAGAAACTCTAGGGCTTGCTCTTTGTAAATATACAATTGTACACATTTATTATTTAAAATTTTTATTTTAAACATCTTATCGATCCAGTGTACCTGCAGCTAAACGGGTCACTGCTACTAATTCGTGTCATCCACCCAGTACCAGTACCTATGCAGAAGCTACATAATAAAATAACCTTTATTATAAAGTTTTTATTAGCGTCTTTTAAAGCATAAGTTACCGAACTTTTTGGCTCACCCATTTAGGCAAGATAAAAAAAAACTCAACGCCAAATAATTGAAAGCCGTATTTTTTATATTAACCTAACACAAAAAATTACAAGGAAACAATTACATATTATTTATATTTATGTAGTGTCGTTTATATAGATGTATCAGGTTTCTTTAGTTAAATACGGTAGCATCTCCTGGACAGCTTCAACGCCCCCAATTGCTTCCGAGGCGCCTACTGCCCCCTAGGACTCTTCAGCGACCACCGGGGGCCGGTAGGGACCACTTTGGGAAACCATGTTGTAAAGTATTTGAAAGATAAATTATATTTCAGGAACACAATACAGTATTCATATCAAGTAAATGACGTAATAATTTCGTAAATAATGTCAACGTCCTTTCACTATGATAAATTATCATACAGTTAATAAAGCGTTTATCTAGCTACCTAAGAATGCGAAACCCTAAATGTTACGAGAACTTTGTCTAAACTGAAACCTCCATTAACAGATTCAAAACGTACTCGAATCTCAAAACTCATATGGACACCCACGAGGACACGTCGTACGCGTGCTATGTGTGCAACCGCGTGCTAAATAGTCGACGAACGCTGCGCAAACATCTGCTCGTGCATGAGGACAAATGCCGCCATCAGTGTCCTTATTGTTCGAAGGCTTTTAAACGCAGACAGACGCTAAAGGTAAATCTTTATTCTGTATCACAAACGGTATGCGATATTGGTAGTGATTTCTTATACGTTTCTTAAGCGAAACCTAATTTCGGTTTATTGTCGTGTCTGACATTTTAGTCGCTACTGTGTAGTAATACGATTTTACGCAGCGTTCAAAAGCCAACATTGTACACTATATTTTATGTTTTTTTTACTTGGCTTTTCGCTTACAAGGTTTTTAATTTGTTTATTTTTTTTAAACGGAGATACTTATAATAACATAATTATGAAATTTGGAAACGGGATTAGGAGGATGGAGAAAGTATGATTGGAGAAAGGGGTGGTGGTGGTGGTGGTGGTGGAAGAGAGTGGAGAGTGGTGGAGCGATTAATATAATGGTTACCTATCAGAAGTCCGAAATGACATATTTCAGAAATAACGTTTGCACGAACTTTCGGAACCTCGAAAGTAATTTTGAGAGGAAAATGTTTAGTTCTTAGGTTTTCGCGATTGTTACACATAGGAAATGATGCTTTTTTTCAAATCGCGTATATTTGTTTTTTCAAACAAACCGACGTTTCGGGCCCTTTACAGGTCCCATTTCACCGTTAACCGTGACCATGGGACCTGTAAAAGGCTCGAACGCGATTTAAATCCGGAAAAATAATTTCATTTCCTATAGGAAAATCTTTTTTCTTTTAAACCTAACTTAACATAACCTAACCGAACCTAATCGTGTCTTTGCGATAAAAATCGCGTAAATAAATTATAACCGTTTCGTTATAATTCGGTTTTCGGGGTAATGAAAATTCGAAGAAACGTAAGTAATTCGAGCTTGTGATAGGTTACCTAATATAATGCATTTTTGGTAGCAGTAGAGCTCCTTGTTAAAGAGTTCGTCAGGGAAGTACTGCCACCTTCCCTATTTCTGCCGCCGAACAGTAATGTCAGCGTTAGGGTGTTCCAGTTTTGTAGGGTAAGCGTGCTGGTGGAATTACAAACACTTGGGACTTTATTTATTTATTTATTCAATAACAAAAAAAGACTTGTCAACTTATGTCTTACTGTATTATTTTTGTTGATTACAATAATTTAGAAAACTGCACAAAAATTTGACTTCGTCCTACTTTTATTGCATGTACAATTTCTTTCCAAAACAAGTTTTTATTATATCTCTTATTTGATTCTTGCACCTTGGTTACTGTACAAAACTGTTGGTGATGTATACCTGTACTTTATAAATGAAAGTTTAAGTCGATATATTTGTTACGCAAGGTACACCTATACACCCATACTGGTGACAAGCCGTTGTCGTGCAAGTGGTGCGACGAGCGGTTTTCGTATGCGTCCACGCTACGCTCGCACCGGCTGCGCTGCCACCCTGACAAGATGGCGGCCCAAGCCTGCTCCAACTACACCAACTACACACAAATGACTTCACAAGAGGTAATAAGATCGATTAAAGTGATTGATTATAGTGTTATCCCTACCGACCCTGAGGGTACACGAGAAGGGCACTATAACCTGTGTGAGCACAGTAACCTTATAAGTTCAGGTTCTGACCCCAGATCAGCCAGTGTACAGGGGTGCCACAGACCTCTGTCACTTGATTTCATCCGGTTCTTCGAAAGGCTAGTGCCTCGGGTGAGCCGTCCGTGCACGTACAGTACCCTCCCTATTTTCCAGATCCAGATGCTTTAGAACAATCGTTAAGTACAATTAAAGTACATCAGGTAAAAATAAAGCCGTGGTAGCCTACTGGTTTGACCTACCGCCTGTCAAGCGGAGGCCATGGGTTTGAATCCGGGCTTGCACCTCTGAGTTTATCGGAATTTATGTGCGAAATTTACCGTGAGCTTTTCGGCGAAAGAAACATCTTGGTGAAACCTGCACGTCAAAGCAGGTTCACAACCCTCGAAAAACGTGAAGTCTTCAACTCGCCTCAACTTGGCGGAGTATGGCCTAAACACTCGCTTGAGAGGAGACCCGTGTCCAGCAGTGGGACGTGTAAATGGGTTGATTATGTGAAATCTAGAAAGGAAGCCTGACTTTCAGCATGAGCTGTGAAGTCCTGTACATTTTGCAAAATTAATGCACTACGAAAATGGTTTCGAAATTAGACGACTTGATATATCACTTTAAACATCATAACTTTAGACAGTTGAGCCCCAAGTCTAAACGTAGGATTGAAAAACATCATCACCAAAATTCGCAATACAACTAATGTGAACCCAGTTTTTAAGGCACAAAAAAGATGTGTCAAAGCAATTTGTCGATTGAAGAGAACAGATAGCTGCAAACCATATTTTAAAGATCTTCGAGCACTCTGTTCCTTCACTTTATATCTACGAAACTGCCGTGTATGTCCGAATGCACTCCCACTTGTTCACACGAACTCTGAAGTCAAGACAAAATGACCAACTTCGTTTGAAAGCCTGTAAAACTACCTTCATGCAGAAAGTATTATTATTATACTAGTATTTTTGTAATGGCGCCAAAAATTTGTAACAATTTACCGAAATCACTAAAGTCTGAGAAAAATCTCATGCTATTTAACTTTACTTTAACTATACAGTGTTTCAATTTTTTTATGATAAATCCCTAAATTCATAGTCTAATTTTTGACATTGGACGTTATTGACGTTATTCATATGACGATATTATTTTGACATCTAATTACCATTCAAATTTTATTTTTTTACATCCTCTAAGATTAAAATTGACCCATGTAACTATAATCGCGTTTAAATTCTGACCGATTTATTAAATCCATGTGCACACGCTCATGTAATATTATTGAAAAACGAAACATGTTACAACTGGTTTAGTCTGTCGAAGTACATGTGAGTGAATGTATATGTGTATACACTCCCGGACACATAATTCGAGCCACCTTGCATTTTTATCCTAAATAAAATTTTATATAAAAATATAGTTAGCATGTTGTAGTTAAAACAAACTAGTGGAATAATTTCACAAAAAATAATTGAATGTCAATTCAATAAAAATTTAAGATTTTAATGTTTAGTATACCAGTTTCAAAGTTGCATAATAGCATTTTTGAGCAATCAAGCATTTTTTAAGCTAAGCATTTGATATTGGAAATGTAAGTGTGTCCGGGAGTATATTACCATGTCAGCTGCTATATAACCTGTGTTTTCACAAATTAGTGAATTATTATTACTATAGTTGTGTTGTTTGTTGCTGAGCTAGCTAAATTATCTATTTACTTATTCGCATATTCGAACAGGGAACTATAGTAGGTATGTCTCTGACACAAGTTTCAATGAGATTTTGTGAGTAATACGTATAACGACGCAACGCACTCCCAACAAAGACCTTGGATGGAAATGATAAATTGAAGAAAGGGATGGAAAGGGATAAGGAAAATGGAGTCAAGTTAGTGTTTTGTTCGCAGGATTACATCAAAAGCGACTTAGCGGCCATCGGCATTACTAAAAATGAAGTCGAGGCAGTGCAATGAAGCAATAAGTAAGATTTTATAGTTGTAAATAATAATACAATCTATTGGGCTATCGTTTTTACGTGTTTATTTCGTTTTAAATAATTGTATATTAATACCTACTTATAGTATGAGTATTAAATTGTTCAGCAATAAAGAATCTATTACTGTACTGTTGATTTATTAGTTCTACTAGTTAGATCTTATGTAATTATTAATAGAGTAGAATTTGCAGCATACATGTAAGTGGTACGACATTTTTTTTATGATACCAAGTGATGGGACGAACAAGTCGTGCGCCTGGTGATAAGTTAAGCGACACGCCTGCCCTTAACAGTTGCAGTGCCACTCCGAGCTTTATATCGCAAAGATTTGAGGGGCGCTGTCACTGCGCCTGTCACTCTGAGACATAAGTTGACTAGTCCCATGTGCCTGAAATTTTCACCTGCACCCTTAACCCTTCAAAATCAGAAGAATAATGTTCGTATTAATGCTTGGCAACAGAAATAGGCAAGGTGGCAGTACTTCGCTGGAAGAAGTCTTTCACAAGTTCTATTGCTACTATGTTTTTGATTACCATAATGCTGAGGCCACTCCGCGCGTCTCAGTGTGTCAGGGTTCATATGAGCTTGTACATTACAAAAATTCCCGCGCCCGGAACGCTTCCGCGGCCGCCTCTGTGTGGCCAGAGCTTAGAGCATATAGGACTGAAGGCGTCATCGATAGGCAATCCCCTCTGTCAAGGTACAAGTACAAAACAACTAATGCACAATAAACACTACTTTCAAATCGATGTTTTTTCATTTCCATTCGCGAATTCACCACGTCAAGTACTCCACGAAACACGTCGTCTTGCGCTATACAAACTTGCAAAAAAATCGCTGCTGCATCCAGTCTCGCCAAGGGTGGAATTATATTTTTCATATACATGATTAACCAGTACGTAATACATATCGACACCGTCACGTCGATAACTTTCCGTCTCTAGTACATTCATGAGAATCGATTTACTTTTATAGGCCTATTCTGTGTACGGACATGACATGAATGTGCGTTTTATCTGTGCATTTGTAAAAATAAGCTAGCGTTGTTGACTTTTGTTTGTGTGAGACTATAGTGACACAATTCAATTTAGCATTTGAGTGCACCTGTTTGCTTGTAGTACTACCCGCCCCTCAAAAAGTGGAAAAAAGTTTTGTTCGGGAAATAACGCTAGTAGCGCCTTCCGTCCTATATGCTCTAAGGGCTAGAGCATTAAACTTTCTTTTTTTTTTAAAAAAAAACTTCAAACGTAATAGATTCAGACATACTTTGCGGAGACCCATGTTAATAAAAATGGAAGTAAGTGGCTTTGCTACTTCGCGAACCCACTGAAGGTTAAATCGTGCAATATAGCGGCATGAAAAAAATATTCAACACAAGCTCAGCTATTTTACACGATTTAACCTTCAGTGAGTTCACTTCGCGGAGTAGCTAAGTCATTTACTTCCATTTTAATTAACTATGCCTAGTTTACATCTTTTTTAAACGATGATGTTTTTGTGTACATACTAGTATTGGAATGAATAGTGTATTCGGCCTCGGGATCATGGCCAAATAGCCGAATATTCGGCCAAATTATTTGGCCTCATTAACGCACGTACGAAAATTGGCACGAAACATAGTAACAAATTAACTTCATCACAAATATTTTTTTACAATGACACAAAAAAAGGTATTTATGTTTATAATTTAAATTTATGACTTCATGAAGAAAGTAATTGTTTATTTCACTGCTAAAAATTTTATTTTGGTTTACAAATAATACTTTGTTGATTTTATTAGCGTTTATTTAGTCATGAGTAACTTAATAAGTATGTAGTTTTAATTTTACATGTTACCTTTTTGACCTCTTAGAAAAGTACATTTCCTTTGATCTTTAAGATTAAGTAGCAAAAAATTTATATTTACATGATAATTTATTCTGTTTTTTACATATTTCGTCCTCCTGTTTTAGGTATTAGACCGAATAGTGATTCTATATTCGGCGTAGACCGAATAGTGATTCAATATTAGGTATTTGATCGAATAGCAAACAACAGGCCGAATAAGCCAAAAACGGAATAGTAACCGAATATTGGTTGCAACTCTAGTACATACGTACTCGTTAAGCAAACGTATCTGATGAAAATATTGTTCTAAGTCCTTTGTTTTCATACCTAAGTTATTTACGTCGTCGGTCATTAGGAAAGCATCATTATTAATATTTTTTGAAAGGTTAATTATATTCTGTTTTCATTCAAATCCTACAAAAGCATATATATTATTTCGTACCAAATAAAACATCAATAGACTTGAAAAATATTGGTCGAAAAATACGTGTATATTTATTATGTTATAATCTGAAAAGAACTCATCGCGCTTACTACCTATCGGACATAAAAGCAGACAACCGAAATACTTTAAATAAATTATGAGCGCGGCCGTTTTTCAGCGGTATCGCCGGCGGCAATCGGGCCGACGCATAGCCGACGAGTAAAATTTACGTGAGCCTCTCAACTTTCAATACGGCAAAACGTACAGTCAGCGTAACTTTCGAAATCGGCGCTCAGTCTGCCCGAATAATATTTTATGCATTTACCGCGCGAATATCACGGCGGCGATGAACAAAGGCTATGGTGAGCGGCGCACACTGGAGCCCCTTCCACACAAGGTAATACTCAAAACTCAATTTTCAAAATCTTGGTATTTAAAAAATATACACATTAGCGTAGTCGTAATAAAGTATCACATCACGCGTAAAATACTCAGTCGCTACTTACTGTTAGTTGTGAAGTGCATTAAATTAGCTCAAAGTTTGCTCTTTACGTTAAATAATAATTGTTCCGTAAAGTACGAGCTTATGTGCAATCTGATATTTATTTTTTACGTTTGATATAAAAATCTAATTAAGTGCGTTATGTCAGTGACCAAACAAGGTATGTTGAGACTTGTAACATTTTTATTATTTTATATGTTTATTGGTATCTGATATATGACTAGACGAAAAGGTGGTAATGTGGCTCCCGCAGGTATATTGGTCCCCTTGAATAGTTATAATTTAGATAAGCGCTATCTAGTACATATTTGGCGCAACACGAAGCTTCTGTGATAGTTTTGATAGAAAACCCACTTCTGGCGCTTCGTTTGTGAGTTATTCAAACAAGTGAAATATTTTTCGCCGCTCGGAATTTTATTCAGTTTTTATGGAAAAAGTGAGTTACGGGTTTGGAGGTTTGGATATTCAGTGAACTAAACGTTCATCTACCGAATTTTGAAAGTAATTATACAAAATATCATGATAAATAAATACATGTAATGTAGTTTGATTTATAATTTTGTGTTTTTTTGTAATTTGGTCCCCTCACGTTGCTTGTATTATGGCCCCGTGGGTCATATAACATGTATAACCTATATAATATTCAATTAGATTTTTATTTTGGATTTCCAGATGCCTTGACGCAGTGTGTTATTTCCACCATCGAAAAAAAGAAAAGCATGGGATCCTGACCAGATGAAAAAGGCAATTGAAGCGGTGAGGGCAAAGGCCATGGGGCTATAAAAAGCTGTGAAAGCTTTTCATGTACCGAGATCGACACTAAAACGATTAGTAAAGGACTCGGAAGAATCTTTAGAGATGCTTGTTCATAAACCCCTTGGTAAAAAACCTATCTTCCACTTGCCTTGGAGCAAAAGTTAGTAGACTACATTTTATTCATGGAGTCTAGATACTATGGACTTACTAGAATGGATTTCTTCCTTTCTTCGATTCTAACGACAGACGTGGAGAGGAGTGGAGTCAATGTCAGAGTTGCAACTTATGGGTTCGTACATCATGTGCAGGTCCTGAAGGCGAATATTACATCTGCGATTTTATTACATTTGCCGATAGATTTTTAATTAATGTCAATACATTTAATATGACCCCCCGGGTGCCATATGACCCTCACTTGATCTCGAGTTGCCAAATATGATTATTTTTTAAATACACATTTTTTATTATCCTGAGGTTATTTTATTTATTCTATTGTAAAGTATGCGTAGGTAAATGAATAAAGGTCACTATAACGTACACATATGATTTCTTCGTCATGTATTTTTTATATGATACCAATAGAACAAAGTAGGGGGTCACATTACAACCTTTTCCTGTAATTGTGGTGCGAGTTTTTTGTTATGGCAGTTTTAAAGGATACTTTTTCTAAATGCGCAATATTCTATTTTTGAATCATAGTTATCATCAACGGAAAGTTTTGTATATTAGTAAACTGTACAAATGGGCAATAGAACTTTGCGCATTTTCGAGAAAAAAAAAATCTATTGGTTAAAATAAATTGGTTAATAAAAGGCTTATTAACCTTGTGGCCAAGTTAATAAACCTTTTGAAAGGCACTACTACAAATTATTAGTCGTATATCAGACACTGATAAACTTATAAAATAATAATAATGTTTAGAGAGTCAACATACCTTGCTTGGTCACTGACATATTACACTTAAATCAATTTTAACAGCAAAGGCAAGAAATAAATGTCTAGAGATTGCACATAAAGTCACGTACGTGTTAATTATTATTTAGCGTAAAGAGCAAAAATGCACTTCGCAACTGGCAGTAATTAGCGACGTGTGACCCTCTGCGGCCGGACCACCTATAAGTACTCGGATGCCGTAGTACGAAACAATTGGTACCTACAGTCTACTTTCCTAGACATACAACAAAATTAATAGTGCCTCGATAGATTACGAAATATTTAATTACTTAAGTGGTCCGGCCGCAGAGCAGTAGGTACTCCCGCCGCGCCACCTTGAATTTAGAAAAAACGTGATACACTTTCGGGAAAGCAATATTCCACAACACAGTTCATAAAAGTATTCAGAATGGTTCACAGTGAACTCTGCTCGTATATGGAACCTTTTCCCAGCAGGTCAGACAGTCACCTTCGGTTCGGGCTTTCAGAGGTACCCTTTTGACATTTTGGGATTATTCAGACTCCTCATGTTAGAGCTTACAAAATATTTATTTACATTTCACATATTTAGTTATAGTCTTATTTTGTACATTCATTTTATTATACCTTTTATATGTATTAGTGTATCATCGTTTATTTAATATTATGTATTCGTGTGTACATTTGATATAATAAATTTATTCTTTAATTATTGAGTATGTGGCATTCAATTTAATGATTTATTAGATTTTATGGCCGACACAGATACCAACTTTCCTTTCAATTATTCAAAAGTTAGCTGGAAGAATCCCTTTATGGGATAAGCTCGCCTTTGTACAATAACATTCTATTTCTCTGTTAATTTGTAATTTGTTTGTGTTGTACAATAAAGTGTTTACATACTGTCCCAAAAAAGAGTATCTAAAGTCTACTTTCCTAGATATACAACAAAATTAATAGTACCTCGATAAATTATGAAATATTTAAGTACTTAAGTGGTCCGGCCGCAGAGCAGTACTTTCCCGCCGCGCCACCTTGAATTTAGAAGAACGCGATACACTTTCAAGAAAGCAATATTCCCAAAAAAAGTACCTAAAGGCTACCTTTCACACAGCGAGTGTGGTTATAATAAATTACATTAGTTTAGAAGTTATTAGATGCAGTTTGTGGTCCGGCTAGAGACTATGCTCCGTAGCAAGTCCGCTTGGTGATAGTTAATTTTAACCAGTCGTTAATATATCTAAAAATAAGTACCACTACTCTAGGAAATGAAACTGTTTTCCCGGATTTAAATCGCGTATATTTGTTTTTTCAAACAAAGCTTTTCAAATTAACTATCGTTGGACTCGCTGGAATTAGAGGTACACTCGCCATTCTGATGTCAATACGACGGGTGTGCCTTTGAATAGAGGGCCATAACTTCGTTCTGATGGAGGTACATTTTTTTAAACGCAGGTACTAAATAGTACAATTTAGGTACATTTTTTTTTATACTAAATTTGTCGGGATTCGTTAAGATACATCCGCAATTCTAACTCTCACAAAGAAATTCTCACTGGCTGCGCCACATACTTGAAGGTTGAAGGTTTATTAAACAAAGCAACAGTTTAATTAGAGAAATAAATATATCAACGGGAAGTAGAGTAATGGTATCGAGTTCTTAGGTTTTCGCGATTGTTACACATAGGAAATGAAACTATTTTTCCGGAATTAAATCGCGTATATTTGTTTTTTCAAACAAACCTTTAAAAAGCTGTTTGAAAAAAGAAATATGCGCTATTTAAGTCCGGAAGAATAGTTTAATTTCCTAGAGTAATGGTATTTATTTTTAGATATATTAACGCCTGGTTAGAATTAATTATCACTAAGTGGACTTGCTACGGAGCATACTCTCCAGCCGAACCACAAACTGCATCTAATAACTTCTAAAGTAATGGAATTTATTATAACTACACTCGCTGTGTGAAACGTAGCCTTTCGGTACATTTTTTGGGAATATTGGCCTTTTTTGAAAATGTATCATGCTTTTCCTAAATCCAAGGTGGGGCGTGGCGGGAGAGTACTGCTCTTCGGTCGGACCACTTACGAGTAAGTTGTTAAATATTTCATAATCTATCGAGGTACTATTAATTTTGTTGTATGTCTAGAAAAGTAGACTTTAGGTACATTTTTTGGGAATATTGCTTTCTTGAAAGTGTATCACGTTTTTCTGAAGTCAGGGTGGCGCGGCGGGAGAGTATTGCTCTGCGGCCGGACCACTTAAGTAGTTAATTATTTCGCAATCTATCGAGGCACTATTAATTTTGTTGTAGTCTAGGAAAGTAGACTTTAGGTACCAATTATTTTGTACTACTGCACCCGAGTACTTATAGGTAGTTCGGCCACAGAGGATCACACGTTAGCGACTCGTGATGTGATACTTTATTACGACTAAGCTAATATATATATTTTTTTAAATACTCATGTTTTGAAATTTGAGTATTACCTTGTATGGGTGGGCCCCAGTGTGCGGCGTTAAAACTGAAGCGTAGCTGTATTGGCGGATGAACACCGAGATAAGGAACGTCAGTCAGCGTGCTGGCGACTCGCCAAACTCCACTAGCGCGGACGTTCTTCTCCCCGCACCCCTCCGCTCTACTTGCCTCCACTATACACCACCACTTATTAACCTTATTACGTAACGTCCCAAAAACCAACACTATTTGCGTTACATAAATATAAATAAATACTATCGGTACCTACGTGTGCTAATTTCATTGGTTTGTAATACAAATGATCAATGTAAAATGCCAAACAATACACTCAATGTTTATATTCCTATAGCTAATCACATATTCATAGGCAGACATTTGCAAATAAGCGAAACATGTTTATTCAGATTATCTTGATAAGGCCATAATCTACATACAAACAAGTCGTCTTGTTTTTCGTGTCGTGTGGTTTTTAGGTACGATGAGCGTCATTTAACGTTATTAAGTAAATAAGTTAATGCATAAAAACATGTCATGAACCTACCATATCATTTACACTATTGGGTAATTTTATGCATTACTGATGATAGTAGTGCAGTACGATTCGTTGGATTGCGATGACATGTAAAAGATACTAAAAAAATATTTATGTTAAGCTATGTGCCGTTAGGATAGGGTTCAAAATTATCAAGATTTTCTTTGATAATTGTTATGATAGTTATTTAATAATTATCTATGTTGATCCATAGTTTTGTCTTTGTTTTGTATTCTCACTTTTGTAATTTTTCGTCCAAAGGTTTAATACCTTTTTGATTAAAAATTACAAACAGTGATAAAACTATGAACACGAAGAAAATCTTTGAGAAAACGATTTGGTTTATGAGTTCTTTGAGATTAACATTTCACAAGTTTTGAACATGTATCTGATGCAAAACTCTTGCCTTGATGTAAATATCAATACTTAATTTAACTAAGTAACATTAAATTTAAACAGAAAATTTAAGGAAAGGCGTTAGACCATAGTTTCCCAAAGTGGTCTCTACCCCAGTGGGCGCTGAAGAGTCCTAGGAGGGTTCTTCTACTTAAGTGGTTCGGCAGCAATTGGGGGTGTTGATGCTATCCAGGGGGTGCTACCACATTCGAAAAAAAAATCTTAATTATCTATTATAAACTACGCTACTAATACATGTACAATTTTTTTCCTAGTGATTTTTTGTGCTATTTAAAAATACGTGTTTTCAATTATTTTTTGTAGTGGTGGGCGTTGAAATTTTTTTATCTTTCCTAAGTATGCGGTGAGCCAAAAAGTTTGAGCCTATGAGTTAGACTATATTCCATAATATACTGTTAGTAAATATATTACTAAAATGTATAGATAAAACGACAATAATGTGTTAGTACATCGCTTAATGTCTAAGAACAAAAGAGGCTTTGTTCATTTAACAAAAGCTAGAGGCAACGAAGTATTAGTAGAAGAAGGCAACGAAAAAGGCAAAAAAGTGAGACAAGGGATAAGCTGCTTTACTCCTAAATCTTGGCAACCTGTACCCAGTGAACCAAGTAACGAAATTATACTCGTTATTAGTATGATTGTCCGCATAGCTATATACATATAGAATGTATAAAATACAGTCGTGCCGCACCTAACTCTATAATGGGCTTTGTATCAACTAGCATCGAGGTTTATTAAGTCAAAGGTTATGTTTACGACTCTATCTGACTAATAGCATGGATTTTCATTAGCTAAGAGATTCATAGTCGTCTATTTGAATGTATGATTTCATACAACACTACAGATTTTCTTAATTAATTTTATATTAAGTTGCTATCTTACACAGTTAATTATATTTTCTCATTTAATCTTGAATATTAATTTAATTATGTAATATTATTTGACGCACAAATATTTTCTGTAAAACAGCTGTGGT